CTTTTCCTAAGATGTGTTACGAGTGAAAGATTCCAAATAACCCTCAATATAAACAGCTTGCCAAAACAACAAAACGAGCCAAAAAAACTAAAAATGTGATGATTGTGCTCAAAAATTGCTCTGAGAAAAGGAAAGATATTTTTCTTGCATGTCAGCTCATGTGAGTGACGGCGGGTAAGAGGGGAGGGTACAGGGGCTATTTGAAATATAGCACAACGGTTATCATCAGTTTGAAAAGTGCAGGGAGAAGTTGATGAATTTTGTTTTCTGGTTATTATTCATGGCCAGTGAAGTTCCTTTGGTACATTAGAGGGGTTGCAGCTTATAATCAGTCGCCGATCGATAAACAATCACATTGAATTCATTCCTCTTCAATCTGCAATTCTACATTCTAATTGACAAGGTCGATTTGCTTTTTCGAAGAATCGTCTGTACGCATATAATGAAAGTGGTGCCCCTGAAAATTACAGGAGTATTTACTATACCGAGTCAATTGATAGGAGATTGAATTGTTCCAAGTCAATTGATGAGAGATGAGAGGTTTTACTAAAGTTGATGAAAATTCCAATTTGCAATTCTAAAGGTATGGTTTATTCTGATGAGTTTTTTTCTAATAAAGTGAAGATGATTTCATCTAATCTGTGATCATCCAATCCAATTTGGCATGTCTGTCACCGAGATTTCGGCTAGTGATCCGCTCGAGCGGTGGAAGGCCTTTTTAAGCATGCAGTTGAAATAAGAAAATTTGACTTTGGATCAGCATTGCTGTGTTGAGTTATTCACGAAGTGGCAATTAGCCGTGAGAGGATCTCATTTTATCTAATTATCAAAGGAGACTACAGGTAGGTTGGCTGGTTGTTCAGCAGGTCACATAAAAGATACTAAATAACAAATTCGTTTAAAGCTGCGTATGCACTCAAGAGGCAGGCAGGGGGATAGATATATTTTAACAGTTCATTTGTAAGGTGCGGTTGCGTCTGATCAGAGGAAAAACCATTGACTGTCATATCTTTCTCATAAAAATATACAACGACTATTCACCGAAGTGGAGGTGGCTAGCGGTGGATATTTACCGAGCCGCGAAGCGGTCAGGAAAAGATCAATCGTTAGCCAGCGACGCTGAGGTGAGTGGTTGTTTTAGTGTTTACTTTTACGGTGATGTTATATATCACAAAGGACGATTTTTAGCTAATTTATTTCTGAAACGATTATAACATTTTCTGGGGCAAATCCTGAGTGCATCTCTCGGAAGTGAATATGAATAGGATATTCAGAGTTTAAGCAGCCAATCACAGCGCGCCTTTAACGCTATCCCTGTTTTAGTATATATTAAATTTATATATTTTTTTTTTGTTTTTTAACTGATGAGGAACTGACATATCAATTTTGAGAATAGCCTTTGAAGTTAAGGTTTTTTTTCTCTTGAAGAGGTCCTTTTGATCTTAATTTTCCTTCATTTCTATACTGCTATGAAACGTCAAAATACAGACAAAAATGCGTTATCGTTACGACTATAACCATCCTTTATTAAGTTAGGATTTCTTTGATTTATATGAAGTAACTTCTTATTCGACTCTTGGTTAAGAGCATGTCACATAATCTGTTTGTTCCCCTGAAAAATTAGTGTGTAACAGTCAACTCTTAAAGCGACATGGAAAGTTGTAGAAAGTAAACAAACTGCAGGAGGGGAGGAATGGTCTCGTATGTAATGACTCTGAGAGTTATCATTAACCAAGCGCTAGTTAAGAATTCCAAATCCGCATTCCTTTTTCCTGTCAGTTTGAAATGCATGTGGTGTTGTCTACAAACATGAAACGGAATCGACCGCTACGATCATAACATTATATTCCTTCAACAGTTTGATCTTTTTTTTACCATAAAGCAAAGTAAGTAAATTTCTGTCAACAAGCTGAACTTGGTGAAATATAAGCAGTCAGCGTTCCACATGTTAACTTAAAGCATGACCAGAACAAAACACATGATTGTTACGCAGCTTGTCTCAGCACTAGTGGAATTTACTTTGCGTTCTGACACATCACATCACTCTCATTCTTCTCATTATTTTGCCATCCAGACCCAATCATTCCAATAGCCGAGAATACTCTATTGTCATTTCTTTGCGGACAGAAATCAGAACCAAACTGATTCATACACAGTTATTTAATCCCACACGTGATTAAAGACATTTGCTTAGTGTTTTCACGCCATTTTTCTAAGTTCTGAGCGAGAGAGGTCATTGTGTCCCCACGCGCCGAAGGAGTCGATGATCGTATGACCACTGATGGATGGACCATCCTATGCTCCAATTTACCGTGTGACCGGCTTCGGAATTTATTCAGTGGCGTCCAGCGTTTAGCAGAATATACAAACTTAAAGGGCTTACCTCGAGATCACTTACATTTACCCCTAGAGCCAAATCATATTTAGAAACAGGTAGCTGTCTTTAAAAAAATGTAGGTTTGTGAACAGGAGTTCGCTGGTGCGTCAAAAAGTGAAAGGGCTTGTTTAACATATACCGCCTGAAGCTGATTTCAGGTTCACACGAGGGTAACCATGCAAGAAAATGAGATTTAAAGCTTCAGTCAGTCATAACGTTCGAATATAGCCTGGCGGACAATTAATTTCATCTCAAGAAGTAAAGATAAGGGACAAAAGGTTGGTTAACGCTTTCGAATTTTCCTTTGATTTTAGCAAAGAACTGATTACTTCTAGTTGATGTTGGCGGTGAATCACTACACCAGCAGTTCCAATTAAGTTTAACAATAAAACTCTGTGAAATGAGAGATAGGTTGACGTAACTGTGTTGTATTTAGCGCAAAAAGAAAAAGATCTATGAGCGGTCTTGTTGTATGTTTATTGTCATGATGTTAATCTCTGTCCATCACCTAAAACAAATCTTTGGAACCACTCTGGGATTTCACTTAACTCGTCACTTGCCTAGAAATAATTGTCGAATGATATTTAAGAATTCATTCTTTCTTTTCTAAATTAGAATGATACCAAATGATAATACTAAGGGTTCAAAGGAAAGACTACAAGCCAGAACGTTAAATACCTCTGTTCCGATCAACAAAAATATTTTTGGCGCTCGTAGAAAAGGTGCTTTTTGTAGAGGGTAGCAACATTAACTTAACTCGATTCTTGCTTCGAGGTATTAACATGATGATAAAGTTCTCTTGTCTTCTGACTAGGAAGTGAAATTCGATATATTTCCCACCTTGTTAATAGATCACCAACAATAGTATCCATTTGTCTGACTTTCAAAGTAACACTTATTTCACGTGACAAAAATCTGCTTTGAGGCGATTGACCGCGCAAGTGCTTAGCGACATGGGACCTGTTGTTGTACCTGCCGTCCTGTGTCTGTTTACACGCTTTGAAGGTCACGGACGGTAAGAGGTCTTAGTAGAGCTTGTTTTGTGTATCTCAGGTTACACAAGGGCTGATATGACCCGACTGCTGTTCGCCTGTTCGTTGCTTTGCTTGGCCATCGGTAAGTACTTCATAACACTGTTGAATTATATAAATATCATGTTCCCTCTTGAGAGGAGTAATCTATCCAGGGGCGATATTCTGGATATGATCTGATAACGGAACAGATCACTGGAACAATATTCACTAAAAAAATATAAAGCTCCAAGATATCTTGGTTAGTCTCCGTTTTTGATGTGTTTTATATAACTTTACAAGAATCGTTTCAAATGTTATCCTAGGGAGCATGATTCGATGGTCAGGGATAATTTTTTTAAGTAAAACTATCGTATAACAGTGAGACCCTAAGAGATATAGTTGAAAAAAATAATCTCAACATGACGTAATTTTTTTTTAAAATTCATCTTATAAGTTCACTTGCTCGTAAAATTTATAAGTACAGATAACGGACCCGTGTTGAAACATCAGAGAATATTCCAACTTTGTCCGCGATATTGCTTTTACCGATGACTTTTTTTTATATTTTCACGGCATATCGGACCATACAGTTTGTAAAAAATAATTTACTGGGTCTTATTCTGTTGAACAGAATTCCTCTCGAGTGTTTTCACTTTATGTATAATTCCTGTTTGTGAACGTCGAGGTTTGAACCATTTATCAAACGGTTCCGAGAAATTTTGGTTAAAAATAGTCGCACAGTGGTGAACTGTTAAAATTTGACAAGTGCAGTGTTCATACGTCGCGTACCAGACAAAACAAGGCCCTGTGCCTGACTCTTTGCGGGTCATGAAGTTAGGATACCAGTTATGCGCTCAATTTGCATACTGTCAGTAACACTGGCCACCTTTGTCAGCCTAAACAAGTTTCGAATTCTAATTTTGTTGTAATAATTAGTCCTAAAAGCGACTTCCTCCTATCTTAGACTGAGCTTCGAACTCGATGCGTGATCGATCGTTCACCTGATTTTCCTCTTTTTCCCTTTTCGTAAGCCAACAAGATTCGAAATCCACTTTGAGGAATACTTGATATCAGTGTTACCTTTTTGTTAAGGAACATATTTTTTTCCACTCACATTCAGTGAAATCAGTATCAGTTATAGAGTAAATGTTATCGATGAAGAGTCTTATAGGAATACTTAGGTGAGACCAAGTAATTGTTCTGGTGGCAACACGTCACTATACACATGATGTTACCGCATTTCATCATAAAGTGTTTATCATGAAATTTGATGACAAATCATCGATCGAAATTTGGTAGTTCATAAGCTATATCGCGCATGAATGAAAGCTAAAATGTGTAATTTTTGTTTTGTCGTAATCACGTTTGTTTGTTTGTTGTTTCCCGATTTCCTCCTAGTTAACGGCCTATAAAGCTTCACGAAATTGGGACAAATTATTAGGAAAACCACTTCACTCCTTTAGTTTAATGTTACAGTGACAACCGATGCACGTAAGACAAAGACGAACGCCAACACGCATCTCATCGGCAATATACATGGAAGTAAACGCGCAGCTATACCAACCTCACTGCTTCCTTAAGAAAAAAACGTACAGCCATTACTGATGGAGCTCGATGACTAAGTCAAACCTTGGTGAAAAGCCTAGATAAACAACTTAATATCACTCAAAGAAAACTAACAAAGGATTGCTCATGCACAAGTATGGACAAAACTCAGTCACCTTACCGGCAAATTTATGCGCGCAACGCATATCAGTTTCACAGTGATTAACAACCCGATAACTTAACCTTCTCTTAACAAATTTCCCCACTTTTGCTTGCAACCGAAGAATTTGTTTTAAGCCCACAATCAATAGGGTCGGGTTTGGAAGAAAGTCTCCCAGTTCGTTTCTGTTTGATTCCTAGGCAAAAGTGATAATGTTCCAACAATTTGTGATGCACTGTAGGCCAATTAAGTTTTGTTGGGATACGACACTTTTAGTGACAGATTTGACATTCGACGTAACGTTTCATTGTTTCGTTTTACAAGTCGCATGCGCACAGCAGGCAGAACGGACGACCGGAAGTGACGTCACAGACGAGGAGCCTCACCCTTATACTATTTCATTCTTCCTGTTCCCACATCATGAGACTGTTGAACTGTCAGGCGGGAAAGGGAAGGTCACGAATGTCACTCAACATGATAAATCAAATGATCTGACTAAAGGTAACTATCCATGGGCCCTGACATGAAAACCAGACTGAGTTACAACTTGTTTCCATCTTTGATAGTATTGGTCGTTAGTAGCAACGAAGTTTGTGCGGGAAATTGACAGCTAGAAAATGTGGTGAACAACTTTCTCATCTAATACTTCTGACTGAATCTCTTGGGAAGATTTGGCGAAAACTTCACTTTTTTCGAGATTTAGTGAAGCATAAACATCAAACAAACAAACAAACAAACATGAATGGAACAATGAATGGTTTTTTGTAAAAGCCGATATTGCTATCTTGGCTCGCCTTTTTAAGTAATAACAGGATCTCAGAATAGCTGATTTGAAAAATGTTGTCAGGGATTCGTGTATTTTTAAAAAAATCTCTGAGCTATTGCTTATTCTAATAGCCAAGAATGAGCAGTTTCATCACACACCTTACGATCTTTGGGATTCAATCTTAGATACTCTAGGATCTTTATATCTATTAGAACCAACAATGAATTACTTTATTTACAAATGGGACCTCACTTAATGCTATTAAGATATTTTACAATTGCTATGTCTCACAAATTTGTCAGTTTATCGAATAATAAGGTAATCGTCATGCATGGTGAATTTGGCGCTTTTTTTTTTAGCAAAAGGAAAGAATCCGTCGGGTGATCTCGCTCTGGATGATGACCCGGATATATCTTACCAGCACGGTAGCGTGAAACACCCCGCCCATGAAATGTACCCCATGTGCCATCACTGTCCAATGAATTCAACATACGACGAATGTACACATAAACGCACACTCAAGAAATGTAATGATGGTCTTTCTAATATCTGCTTTACAAAGAGTACAAAGAGGAACGATGTAGTTCACTATCATATGGGCTGTGCTAACCACAAGCAATGTCAGAGGGCTCGTGCTAAACCATGCAAAGGTAAGTAGTATGAGTTAGAGTCAGTACAAAATACCCAGTGAACTATTTAGTTGGTTTTTCATCAATTAAAATTATTGCACATACTTTATTCTTGGCTTTGAAAATCAAATAATTATTGATTGCATAAAAGGGGATATATTGTCGTGGTAAAGCTCTTTTTATGTTCCATTCAGCTGGTTGCATTGAATTTTTGCGGCTTCATTCTAACAACTGAATATTTTTCCGAAATGGTTTTACTGAAAATCTATTCGTGGACAGTCCACATGTCATAACTGAACATAGTAACAGACTGGGCAAATGAGACACACATCATTAAAAAAACCTTTTTCGCATTATTATAAGAGGAAAATATGAAAGCTTTGTCATCCCTTTATGTGGACGTATGTTAATGTAGGTTTGTAAGAAGCATTTGGTCCTGAGCGTTGTTTCTTTCATTCCAGTTCACGAGAAACGCTGTTTTACTTGCTGCCAATGGAGCGGATGTAATTCAATGTCTCACCATGGAGACTCAACTGCTCTTTCATTCTGGAATACAGGTCACGTGACTTCTGTCGACTGGGTTACTCTGGGCGTCAGCTTGGTGACCTTTGGTATAATTTATTTCATTTAAAGAGAAAAACCTTCAAAAGTAACATGTACATAGAGTTTGGCCGACTCAGTCTAACAACACAAATGGACTTTGTTTGTATTCTTGAGATTCGAAGGACTTCTTTTGACCATATTATCCCTTAGGCAGCGAGAATGTCTTTTAACTTTCCATGCTGACTGAAAGGAACCTAATAATATGTTTAAAAAGCTGTTGTAATATACCTTTTTGACGGTAGATAATGTTGGAGTGGACATATCTTAGGGAACAAAGCCCGTTGCAGTTTGTTGGAGTAATTTTTCCATATGACTTTGAAGTATTTATCGTTTTCTCGGAGCCTGCGAACACCGAAATTTACACAGATTTTGTCACAGAAAGATTCCTTTTACAATTTCTGAGACTCCAGTAAATTAGGCGGGTGATAAAGCGAACCTCAAAAGTGTCTTTTCTCGTCGATAATTATTTGATGTTGATTGAGTCTAAGCTCAGAATGTGTTAACAGCTCTGTGAGGACCTTTAGATTATTCGGGTTTGTGAAAAATTTCGTAGGCAAAGTATCAACGGGCTTCAGCTCTTTACTGGAAAACCTCACTCAGTTATACCCATACAACAAACAGACCTGGAGTTGTTTGGTGTATGAATATAATTATAGTGGCATTGAAGCACATGTCTTTCTGTTCAGTTCCTGAATAAGAGAGTCTCAGAGGCTGAAATAATAAATTGAGTAACAACTAACACATACGAACTTCACACTCTTTAAAGAACATACTTTTCAGTGATTTATTTCTTACTTTATAGAAAATAAGCTGAAGTAAGACGTACAATTTCCATCGAATTGCATGACTTTAGTACATTACACCAATCCTTGATGACATTTCTGTGCCGTTTCAGTCAAGGAGAACGTGTTCCTTTACGACAACACAATGGGGTCCACACAGGGTCCAGGGGTCCGAATTTCTTAGGACACCGTGCAAGAAGAACACACATTCAAAACTTTACTAGTGCAAACTGAACGCGGCGTAACGTAGCATGGGACAAAAATTGAACGAATTTCTTACGTGCTCAACACCTGCGTGCTAAGCTAAGACCTTCGATCAGTTCATTCTACAGACAGTAATCAACAATTTCGTATGTCCATTTACTGCATGTGGAAAACTGATCCACGGTAACAAATGACAGCAAACGACTATGCTCGTGCTCACAGAATGTCTGGAGGCACTTCTAGAGACGGAAATTCTCAATGAAACAAATTAAACTCCTCTTAACACGAGTATATAATTTGTAGAACGCTTTTCGTAGTCTTTGACTAAATATGAAGAAAATGAATGGATTTAGGGCACTGCTGATGTTTGGAAGAATGTAAATGAATGTTATGTTTATAAACGGGCTTATTCGAGTAAAACATGTCGAGCACCAAAACAGAGCCATAAGTATGGCGAAGAACGGGAACCAACAGCAGATCAGGGCGCTTATAAATATGGCCAATGTTTTAGCGGCTCTGATCTCCCGAGTCGATGTAAATCGTCGACAGGCGATGCCACCCTGAACAAGTGAGACGGGCTCTGGTAGTGTCCTGCAGTTTGTAGATTTCCAGTGTTCCAGGGAAACTGAAAATACGTAAGAATACGATGCTGTTATGATGAGTAAAGGAAGGAAAAATCCCACACAAGCGGCAAAAGTGTAAAAAGTCGGATCGGGAGTTTTTCGGCACCCTGATGGATTATCTATAGCAAACGCTGGAATGGTAGGATTTGTCCAGTTGTTTAGTCCGAGTGAAGCTATCGCGCCTCCATGAAACCAGATATAGAGAATCATCAAGTGACCTCTTCTCTGAGTTATAATACGGTGATACCTCAACGGATATCTTGTCGCTACAAAACAGTCCAGCGATATTAATGCTAAGTTCGCAAAACAGGTGCAGCGGCAAGCTAAATCTACCCAGATCCAGAAAACACAAGTGGTTTCGTCGAGGCACCAGTGCGTGTTGTGCAAACTTTGGTGGATTCGCATTGGAAGTGAGAAAAAGGCAACCATCAGGTCTGATAAAGCAAGAGACATGACGAGATAGTTTGAGAAGCGATGAAGAGTTTGATTGTAGTAGATTGAACAGCATATGGCAGAATTACCAATTATGGTAGCTATAGTAATGTACAGCAAGAAAAACGTCTGCGCCACGTATTCTGGTCTAGTTCCTTCATAACACGTCTTCGGCTCCATATCATCATGATTCGTGGCTGACTTCACTTTTGCCAAATCATCATTCATGACCATTTACCATGAACTCATAAACAATCCTCAAACAGATTGGATATGAGATATTCTCCGCAAACCTCGCCAGAAGTAATCTCCGTTGTTTAGCGTAGCCACAATCAAAATTTTTCAGATCATTGTAAATATGAAAATGCTGTACATTTTAAACCCCTCTCTATACTCAGTGGTTAGTGTGAATACACTGAGAGCCTCTGTCTGCCTGCTGTGAAATGATCTACAAATTGTCGGAACAACCAATTTCAAAAGAAATTCCGATAAAAGCTTTTTAAACTGATAAGGAATTCTTTTGTTGGTATTTCCGTATTTTCTTATCAACTGTCACACGAGAGGTGTCATTGCTTCGAATGGTAAATACTCAAGTCAAACAAACCATTTCAATTATATTAAAATTCACACTCGGTATGAATATTATATCTATTGGCCTTTCCTATTTAAGCAGTTGAAATTAAGATTCCTTTTCAAAGTAAGAGCTTCATTTTTGAGTTAAAAACGAGTATTTTAAGTCAAATTTTTGATCAACCCATCGGTTGAAAACTGAATTGAAAGTGATCAAAGGCTGACATATTTTCAGCTATTCAATGTCACAACGAGGTGTGGGTTAAAAAAACGGGATATTGAATCTGAATTTAAGAGCTTCTTCTAGGTTTAGAATGCTTACACGAGGAAAGAATATTTTGCAAATTTATAAACACCATTTCCAACTACTGTTTTTAACTTTACAGAAAATGTCTGAGTTTGTTGAAACCCAGTAAAAGTTTCTTTAAGAATAATCCTTTGTTCCTGTCTCTCGTTTCGTTTCAGTTTAGATGTTTTGTATTTGACAAGGAATAATCTGAGACAAAACGCCTATCAATAATTATCATGTAGGTTGATAAAATCAGCTACCACGTCATGTTTCAGTTGTTGTTTTGTCAAATAATCATATTTTGTAAATTAAAACGTACTTGGGCTCTCATGAGCAGAAATGTCCGCATTTTCTGTTATGCAAAGAAACCTCAATACGCAATTTTGAGTTCCGGGTATGTTTAACAACTGAACTGGCTGCGGACAAACGAACAAGAATCAGAAGAAATTTCAAAGCAGTAAAATCCTTCAGAAGTTGCTGCCAGACTGATCATAAGTTATGAACCATCAATATGATAAAAAGCAGACGAATATCGCTCCCAAAACTACTTACGGGGGAGTTAAAGGCTCCCAGTGTTACACTCTATGTTTATTGCAGGCTGACACGCACGAATAAAAAAATGCAAAAATATACGCTCTTCTGTTTCAATTAAAGTTTCTTTTCCCGCATTCAGTCAGGAAACACGGCAGAGCCATACGAAATAAGCCACGATTTAAAAAAAAATGATAAAAAAATAGGAGAAGTGGGGATTGGTAAGAGTGGTGATAACTTAGCTCGGGCTGTTTAAATGCGTATCTGTTTCAAGATAACTTCGACCCACTGGGAAGAATGATTACAAAGATTGAACTGGAGGGAATTTCTCCTCAACCAATTTTTTTAATTTGCTGAAAAGGGCGAGACTTTATTGTAGTTTTCTAGTATGCAATTACATGTATTTTTGGTTATGATATAATTATCTGCTCGCTACTAACGACCTTGCAACTTTTGGGTGTATTTAGGAGTAAACTTCACCGTTAACAGACCCACATTCTCGAACCCCCCTCCCCCCCCTCCCTTCGCGGCCATTAAACCAGACATTTAATTACATAACATATCTCATACATCATATATAAATGTATATGTTATATATTTTTATATCTTTTCATGAATTTTTAATATGCGGGTTCATTTTTATTAGCGAGGTAAATGCTTTCCAAGAGCTTCATATGTTTAGTATTTATCAACACTGTGCTGCTATTTCAGTTTGTGGATACTTAACGTCCTTTAATCTTTCTTCAAGATTTGCTTCAACCACTGGAACTCTAAAAGTTATTTTACCCTTTCTCATCCAGTTTTACCTCATAAAGTGAGTTTAACTTTGTCAGAGCCGGCGTCACAAGGTATCACAAGGTATAAATGGGAAAACAGGTACCAAGTCTAGGGATTCTCGATAAGAGAAACATTCAATCCAGGCATTACAAGGATTTAAAAGCCACCGTTTATTAACGCACTAGCAACAGATTCATCTATCTTGCGGAAGGACAGGTCGGAAGAAGCTTAAAATTTTTCAGGAATTCTCGGCGTTTAATCGAATACAGTAAGAAGCTTTAATTGCTAAACGATATGTTGGACTGTTGGACCAAACGAAAACTGGTTTGATTTGGAACTGACCGTTCATTACTTTGAAATGTCTTATTGTCCTACTTATATCACTTACCTATTAATAAAATTGAAAGAAACACGATTAACGTAAATTAAAGAATAAAAAACTTTCGTTCCTGTGTCACCTGTTTATTTAACTGCTCATTGGCACTGCATAATGTTACCGTCAAAACATATATAGATCGTGAACAAAGCTCAAATTACACAACTTAAAGCAGTTGTAACAAGTCGAGTAAAGCCCAATGGAGCCTCTCCAAGCGTTCGTGATAATTGTTTTAACTTTCCTGTTCTCTGAATTGCGAAATCCTCCCGCAAATGATTACGACATACAACAAGAGAACATGAACGCGAGGCTCCGTAATTAAGTAGAGAAAGTCTTCCGCTGCATTCTGTTAAACATATTTCGAAAAAAATACCAATCCATGAAGCCTCGTAGGTGTTGACATACTCTCGTCAAAACACACTGACTATCGACCAATGAAAGTGTGCCCAGTATCTCAGTGGCTTTCTAAGGCTTAATGCATTATTGGGATGGGACTCCATAATAAAAACGATTCTAAAACGGACCAAGTAAGTCAGAAGAACCTTAAGTTTTAAACACAAATTTTTTGTCAAAAGATACCTTTGTTGCTCACGATATGTAACGCAAGGCTCTTTTAATTGACTCTTTATGCGCTAGTTTTATTCCGCTTTGGAGACTTATTTGTTTGTGTCTGTCTACATCGATGTACATGGAGTAACAAATAACATTCCCTAATTACACTATAAAATTGTTGGTATAGACTATAAGCTGTTATGAATTACAATCAGTCACGGGAGAGAAAAATATAACAAAGA